AAAAAAAATAGTGGGGTAGGGAGGGGGAGTATGGGAGGAATAGAGAACTTTAGATAGGGCAGAGTGGTTAGAGGGGAAGGGATGGGCATGCATGGGGTTATTAATGTTGGTGGAAAGTGATAATCATTATTATCCAAAGTACACATATGAAGATACAAATTGGTGTGAATATACTATGTATACACCCAGAGACATGAAAAATTGTGCTCTATATGTGTAATAAGAATTATAATGTATTCCACTGTCATTAAATAATAAATAAATAAACAAATAACATAGAGAAAGCCAGCCTCAGCAATGGTGAGGTACTAAGCAACTCAATGAGACCCTGTCTCTAAATAAAATACATAATAGGAATGGGGATGTAGCTCACTGGTGGAATGCCTCCGAGTTCAATCCCGGGTACCTGCCCCCCATCCCCACAAAAAAAGAATGGGGGAGGGGAAAGAAATCTGAATACAGGGAAAAACTCATTTCAAAAGGTTTATAAAGGTACAGAGTCTAGAAATCAGAGGCAGAAATCAGCAAACTTTTTCTGCAAAAGACTAAACAGTAAATATTGTTGCACTGGAGAGACATTTGGTTTCTGTTTCAACTACTCCATGGCATAAGCAGCCAGAGACAAACTCGAATGAATGGCTGTGTTCCAAGAAAATCTTATTTACAGATACTTAAATTTGAATTTCATGTAATTATCACTATTCTTCATTTGCTTTTAAACAAACATTTAAAAATGTGAACATCATTCTTGGCTCACAGGCTGTACCAAAACAGACTAGTTTGCCAACCCCCAATCTACAAAATTTAGTAATTTCTTTGGTTGTGGTGATGGTGGTGCTGTGGATTGAACCACAGCCTTGCCTGTGCTAGGCAAGTACTGTACCATTGAGCTACATCCCAGCCCTTACAGCAGAATTCTTGCTAGTTCAAATCTCTTTAAAAAGAATAAAACAGTGGATATTAGAAACCAACACAGGTTCAATAAAATTAAATCATGCCAAGCTTATCAA